TCTTGGTTCTTCTTCTATTCTTTCTCCCTTTTCTCGGTTCTTCTTCTATTCCTTCTCCCTTTTCTTGGTTCTTTTTCTTTTCCTTCTCCCTTTACTTGGTTCTTCTTCTATTCCTTCTCCCTTTTCTTGGTTCTTCTATTCTCTCTCCTTTTTCTTGGTTCTTCTTCTATTCTCTATCTTGCTTCTCCCTTTCCTTGGTTCTTCTTCTATTCCTTCTCCCTTTCTTGGTTCTTCTTCTATTCCTTCTCCCTTTATTCCTTCTCCCTTTACTTGGTTCTTCTTCTATTCCTTCTCCCTTTTCTTGGTTCTTCTTCTATTCTTTCTCCCTTTTCTTGGTTCTTCTATTCTCTCTCCTTTTTCTTGGTTCTTCTTCTATTCTCTCTCCCTTTCCTTGGTTCTTCTTCTATTCCTTCTCCCTTTTTCTTTTCTTCTTTCTCCTTCTCTTCTATTCATTCTCCTTTTTCTTGGTTCTTCTTCTATTCCTCCTCCTTTTTCTTGGTTCTTCTTTCTTCTGGTTCTCCTTCTATTCTTTCTCCCTTTTCTTGTTCTTCTTCTATTCCTTCTCCCTTTTCTTGGTTCTTCTTCTATTCCTTCTCCCTTTCCTTGGTTCTTCTTCTATTCTTTCTCCTTTTTCTTGGTTCTCCTTCTATTCCTTATCCTATTTCTTGGTTCTTCTTCTATTCCTCCTCCTTTTTCTTGGTTCTTCTATTCCTTCATTCTTTTCTTGGTTCTCCTTCTATTCTTTCTCTCTTTTCTTGGTTCTTCTTCTATTCCTTCTCCCTTTGCTTGGTTCTCCTTTCTCTTCTTTCTCCCTTTTCTTGGTTTTTCTTCTATTCTCTCTCCCTTTCCTTGGTTCTTCTTCTATTCCTTCTCCCTTTTCTTGGTTCTCCTTCTATTCTTTCTCCCTTTTCTTGGTTCTCCTTCTTTCTCCTTTTCTTGGTTCTTCTATTCTCTCTCCCTTTCCTTGGTTCTTCTTCTCCCTTTTCTTGGTTGTCCTTTCTCTTCTTTCTCCCTTTCCTTGGTTCTTCTTCTGTTCTTTCTCCCTTTTCTTGGTTCTTCTTCTGTTCTCTCTCCCTTTCCTTGGTTCTTCTTCAACTCTTTCTCCCTTTTCTTGGTTCTCCTTCTATTCTCTCTCCCTTTTCTTGGTTCTTCTTCTATTCTCTCTCCCTTTCCTTGGTGCTTCTTCAACTCTTTCTCTTCACTACCTGATTCTTTTTCGATATGAACATAGCGATCTATTTACACCAAATGCTTCATACGTCTTTATCCATCTTTAACATGAATATTTGTAATCATTTTTTCCAACACATTACCGTAACCAATCAGTCACTGATGCGCACAATCATCACTAATCCTAATCACATCCGATCCTAAGACCTTTTTCTCCCCCTGATACTCTGGAAAAAAAAGGCTGCTCCTGTGGATATTTCTGCAAGATGAGGGGCGGCCTCTGCAGGAAGTACCGATGCGAGGAGGGAGAGACCATGTCCTGGTGGGGATGCAGAGGATACAGGTGCAGGTGCTGCATCAGGAGTAAGTAGCGGCCGTTTGTATGTGTGGATGTGTGGATGTATGTATGTATATATATATATATAATATATATATATATATATATATATATATATATATATATATATATATATATATATATATATATATATGCATCTCCCTCTCTATCACTCTCTCTCTTTATATGTATATATGTATATATATATATATATATATATATATATATATATATATATATAATATATTATATATATATATATATATATATATATATATATTATATATATATATATATTATATATATATATATATATATATATATATATATATATATATATAATATATATATAGAAAGAGAGAGAGAGAGAGAGAGAGAGAGTTATATGTGTGTGTGTGTGTGTGTGTGTGTGTTTGTACACACACACACACACACACATATATATATATACCTGCATTTCATAATCTTTATTTCATCTTTACGCTTTGTGAATATTAGGTCAAGCGTAGACGGTCTCCCTGACCCTCTTGCCCTGGTATGACCCGGCACAATGTTAAAGAAGCAGAACATGTATGATTTCTGGTGATTTCGCATTCCACAAATCTGGCTGTTGCAAGAATTTCTCTTATCTTTCCCCCTCTTTTTTCCTCCTTCCCTTCTCGCTTTCTACTTACTTCCTTTCTCCATTCATTCTTTTCTCCATTGATTCTTCTTCTAGGCTCTTTAAAAGGGTTCATGTTTTTGGTATTTTTTGTGGCCACTGGTGTATGAGGTGGCCTGTACATTATGGGTTAATCTCTCAATTATTCCTTTCTTTATTAATGGTCTTCTCTCCCTCCTTCTTTCCTCCACTTCCCCCTCTTTTTATCTTTTTTTCATTTCTCCTTTATCCTTCTTATCTTTCTCCCTCTTTTTCCCTCCTTCCCTTCTCACTTTTTACTTACTTCCTGTCTCCCTCTCTCCCTCCTTCTTCTCTCTATTCATTCTTTTCTCAACCCTTTTGTCCCTCTCCCTCCCTCTCTGTTCTCCCCATTTCCCTTCTCCCTTTTTCTTATCACTCTTCCTCCATTTTTCCTTATCTTCCTCCTTCCTCTCTCCCTTTCTTCCTCTCTCTTCTCCCTCCTGCCTTTCTCCAAATCCCCATCCATCTCTCTCCCTTCCCCTCTCATTTCCTCTTCCTTTCCCCTCCTCCCCTCTCATTTCACTCTTCCTTTCTCCCTCCCCCCCTCTCATTTCACTCTTCCTTTCTCCCTCCCCCCTCTCATTTCCTCTTCCTTTCACCCCCCCTCTCATTTCCCTCTTCTTTCTCCCTCCCCCCCTCTCATTCCCTCATTTCACTCTTCCTTTCTCCCTCCTCCCCTCTCATTTCCTCTTCCTTTTCCCCTCCCCCCCTCTCATTTCACCCTTCCTTTCTCCTCCCCCCCTCTCATTTCCCTCTTCCTTTCTCCCTCCCCCTCTCATTTCACCCTTCCTTTCTCCCCTCCCCCTCTCATTTCACTCTTTCTTTCTCCCTCCCCCCTCTCATTTCACCTTCCCTCTCCTTCTCCCTCTTCCTCTCCCTCTCATTTCCCTATTTCCCCTTTCTCCCTCCTCGCTCTCCCCCTTCCTTTCTCCCCCCCCCTCTCATTTCACTCTTTCTTTCTCCCTCCCCCCCCTCTCATTTCACTCTTCATTCCCTCTTCCTTCTCCCTCCTCCCTCTCATTTCCCTCTTCCTTTCTCCCTCCCCCCTCTCATTTCACCCTTCCCTCCTCCCCCTCCCCCCCCCTCTTCCCTCCTTCTGCAGACGAGATCCGGTCACCGAGGACTGCGAGGGGGCGGGCGAGTGCTGCCAGGAGGAGGCAGGCTCAGGAGCCTTCTTCAAGTGCTGCCAGAAGTACAACTGCTGCCCCGTGTGCTCAAAGCCCAGTGAGTGACGCTGATCGTATGTTCGTGTGTGTTTATATAACATGTTTTATATACACATGTTTACATATACACGTATATGCGTCTCCTCCAGAGTGCACCTTCGGCAACGAGACCTTCGATGACGAGGTCGTACCCGAGAGCGTGCCTCCAGCTGCGGTGTGACGTCCAGACCCTGGACGAGCAGCCGTTCTACCAGCAGCAGATCACCGAGATATCGCCCAACTCCTCGTGCGGTTGTGAGTTGTGGCGGGGAGGGTTATGGGAGGGTTTTGGAGACGGTGGGGAGGGTAGGGAGGGTAGGGAGGGTTGTGGGGAGGGTGGGGATGGTAGGGAGGGTTGTGGGGAGGGTTTTGGGGACGGTGGGGAGGGTAGGGAGGGTTGTGGGGAGGGTGGGGATGGTAGGGAGGGCTGTGGGGAGGGTTTTGGGGACGGTGGGGAGGGTAGGGAGGGTTGGTGGGGATGGTGGGGAGGGTGTGGGGACGGTGGATAGGATTGAGGTGAAGGTGGTGAGGATGTTCAGGATTGTGGTGGTTAGGTGTGATGAGGATAGTTGTGAAGGTGGTGAGAATAGTGGTGGTGGATGAGGATGGGTATGGTGAGGGTAATGGGGATGATGGTGACTATGAGGATAGTGGATGGTGAGGGTGGTGAAGATGAGGATGATGGTGAGAGTGATGAGGGTGTTTGTGGTGATGAGAATAGCTATTATTATGGTGATGGTGATCATACTTTGATGGTGATGATAGTGATGAGAATACTTGTGAGGATAGTGATGGTGATGAGGGTAGTCGCGACGAGAATGATGATAGCCGTGGTGGTGATGGGATTAATATGGTGGTGATAGTGATAAGGCCGGTGAAGGTGTTGTGCTGATGTTAATAGTGATGAGAATAATTGTGGTGATGGTGATGAGATGTTGGTGATGGTGGTGGTGATAGAGACAATATGGTGGTGATGGTGATGATTATGACGTAGTGAGTATGGTTGTGAGGGTGATCTTGCTGAATGTGATGAGGATAGTTGTGAGTATAGTGAAACTGATGAGGACAGATGTGATGAGAGTGATGAGGATGGTGTTGGTGTTTATGGTAACAATAATAAGGACAAGATTATGGTGATGGTGGTGATGGCGATTATGGTAATTGTGATAGTTGTGAAGATGGTGATGTTAATTGTGGTGAAAATGATCACAACAACAACAAAATATACATAAAATGATAAAGTTATGATTAAAAATCACTCCAAATCTAATCTAACTGATTTTCCCCTCTCTCTCCTCCTCCTACTCCCCCTCCTCCTCGTCCTCCTTCCTCTTCCCCCTCCTTCAACTTTCCCCTCCTCCTCCCTCTCTCCCCTCCTCCCCCACTCCCATTCCCTACTCCTTGCCCTCCCCTACCCCTTTTCCGTTCCCACTCCCCCTCCCCTCCCACTCCCTTATTCCTCCCCCTCCTTCTCTCTCCACTTCCCTCCCTTCTCTTCTCCTCTCCCTCTTTCCTCCCCCTTCCCTCTCCCACTCTCCCCTCCTCCTCTCCCTCTCCTCCCCTCCCTTCCCTCTTCCTCTCCCCTCCCCCTCCCATCCCCTTTCCTCCCCTTCCCATTCCTCTCCTCCTCCTTCATCCCCTCTCCCCTCCTCTCTCTCCCCCCAAGGCTGTGAACTGGGAGGGAAGATGTACGCCGACGGCTACCTGCTGACCCAAGACGACTACTGTTTGGCCATCCAGTGCGTGGAGGGAGAATGGGTCAACCAGGGCTATATCAACAGTGATTGTAAGTGTTTGTGGGGTGGGGTTGTGGGTGGGGGTTGTGGGGGTGGGGGTGGTGGGGGTTGTGGGGGGTTGGGTGGGGGTTGTGGGTGGGGGTGGTGGGGTTGGGGTGGGATGGTGGGGGTTGTGGTGGGGGTGGTGGGGTTGGGGTGGGGATGGGTGTGGGTTGTGGGGAGGGATGGGTGGTGGGTTGTGGGTAGGGATGAATGTGGGTTGTGGGGAGGGATGGGTGTGGGTTGTGGATGGGGGTGATGGGTAGGGATGGGCGTGGGTGGGAAGGGATGGGCGTGGGTGGGGTGTGAGGGTGATGAGTAGGGCTGGGTGTGAGTGTGGGGAAGGGCGTGGGTGTGGATGTGGGACACTAGCCAGCATCCATCATCGTCTCCCATATATTCACATACACACACACACACATTGGCATAAAATGTGTGTGTGTGTGTGTGTGTGTGTGTGTAGTCTTTCTCCGCACATAGGAATAACCTTCCGTTTCCGATTTCCAGGCAGAGTTTGCACAATCCAAGACCCTCTGGCTGCTGCAGTGACCTTCGATGGCAGTGTCAACAGTGTCTCCGATACCAGCTGCAGGTTGGTATCAAGAAGAGAAAAAAGTCAATATACTTAAGAACAAAGGAAAAGCGTCACATATTTAATACGACATGCAGTCATGCATACATACTTACATATACACTTACACCAGTACGCCATACATACATACTTACATATACACTTACACCAGTACGCCATACATACATACATACTTACTTACTTACATATACACATACACAAATACGCCATACATACATACATACATACTTACATATACACATACACCAGTACGCTATACATACATACATACCTAAATACATGTATGTATATATACATACATGCATACATATATACATATTTATATATAAATGCATACATACATACACAAGCAAATATACATATTGCGCAAGCAAATAAACACGCACTCTTACAAACACACGCACACGCTTAAATATTTGCAAACTTGTACAGATAACTATTGTTTTGTCACTGCCATTGGAGGCACTGACCCACTTCCCTTAGACGTCCAGGAATTAGTAAAGTATAGTTATTAGTCTTCTGTGGAAAGGTATGAATGAGAACGAATATCTTCACAATACAAGAGATGTATTTAACCGGTTTCGATTATATCTTCGTCAGAAATACATGGGTCCCCATCATATATTTCTGACGAAAGATATAATCGAAACCGGTTAAATACATCTCTTGTATTGTGAAGATATTCGTTCTCATTCATACCTTTCCACATTTGTCAACTCGAATACGGTTCCTTTTTATTAGTCTTTCTCTACACACGTCCCACCAAGAGCGACATACTTCTGCCATCTTTCCTTGCAGCTGTTGAAGTCTGCAGGTTGCCTATGAAGCCATAAAGTGACTTCAAAAATCAGCGTTTCAGTAAAGAAACGTTTGCACTTCAAAGATTATTTCATGGCGAGAAAGAGGTGAAAGCTAAATGGTGAAAGGTCAAGAGCAGAAGGAGGATGAGGATGTTGCAGGCACAGGGTAGCACTTCCATCTGGCCAATGTCAGAGTTGCGAACAGGGGTGTTGTCCTGTAGGAGGCGGACACCTTTGGTCAACATTCCACGCCTCTTGATGTTGATAGCCTCCCATATTTTTTTTTTTTTTTTTTTTTGGAAGTGAAGCATAGTAAGCCCCTGTAAATGTAAAACTTTTAGCTAGGAAATTCATTGTCACTACTTTTTTTTTTTATCTTACTTTATTTTTCTATTCATTTATCTTTTTATTTTCACATTATTATTATGTTTTTTTTTTTTTTTGTGGGGGTGGGTCAAAGTGCTCCTGTGGACAGGGTGATGTGAAAAGAATGCTTCCAATGTATGTCACTTCATGAAGTAAAAGGTGACTATAAGGACCCCTACCAACCCCCACTTGACCAGCGTGGTATGCTTGGCCCACCCTCTCCCCATCATGATACATGTCTCAAGCAATATGAAGGCCGTTCTAGTTAAGTTTGTGAGTTTCAAAGCACTTGAAATGAAAGCTGGAGACAGAACAACGTGGAAAAAGTCTAGGAAGGTATATGTCCAACAACGGAAGCTGAAAAAAAAAGAAAGAGTCCAAGTTCTACTGTTTTAACTGGGCCTTAGTTTTCAGATCATAGTGACAAACCCAAGTTTCACCCTGTGCAATTAGTCAGACAGAGAGTCCTGGCTTTCTTGGCACATAAGCTAAAAGGAACAAGGGACTCTTTCCTGCTTCTGGAAAGGTATGAGTAGCCGGGGAACCTATCAAGTAGACAACCTTTGCCTTTTGTCCACAGACTCAGCACTAATCTCGATATTTTGGGCTATTTGATGAGCCGTAATACGCTGATCTTTCAAAATGGCAATCTCCACTTGATAAATCGCGTCTTCACCAATGGCAGATTAGGGTCGCCGTTTCCACAGATCTCCGACCACACCTGAACTGATGATGTCAATGTTTAACAATGCCATATGATGAGGCCTCCTCCCCCATAAGTTGTAATCAAGTATAAAAACCTGATCACTGTCCGGTAATCTACTGGTTCCATTCCTAAACCTTCCTGCATCTTCGCCGCCGTAACAGAAAATATGGTAAATTAACACATGACCTACAGAGGTGTGTCTTTATGCATATAAATTTCAACCTCACAGAATAAGTGGAAGTGGGTTAGGGAAAGCCTTTTAATGGGCACCCCTCGCATTTCGCACTGTTGTGTACTTCCTCTGGACATCGGCCTTCCCTAATCTGTACCACCTCTGCCGGTCTTGTGCCATTCGTGGCCAAAAAAAATCGAATTTGTCGAGATCACCACGCCACTTGGTCTTCTGACTGCTTCCATGGCTTGCATCAAGGCGAGAAAAAGGGGCCGTACCATACCACGCTGGCCCAGTGTTGACAGAAGTGGACGCGGTCTTCGTCTGGAGTCTCAGACCCACCCTTTCCAACATCGCTGGACGTCGCTGGCATCTCCTCCCTTCCCCCTCCCCTCCCTCGCCCATCTCCCTCCCCTCCCCTCGCCCATCTCCTCCTCCCTATCCCCCCCTCCCTCCCCTCGCCATCTCCCTCCTCCCCCCCTCCCCTCCCCTCCCCTCCCTCCCTCTCCCCCCCCCTCCCCCTCCCATCTCCCTCCTCCCTTCCCCCTCCCTCCCCCGCGCCCATCCCCTCCTCCCTCCCCCTCCCCTCCCTTTCCTCCTCCATCTCCCTCCTCCCTATCCCTCCCCTCCCCTGGCCCATCTCCTCCTCCCTATTCCCCCTCCCCTCCCCTCGCCCATCTCCCTCCTCCCTACCCCTCCCCCTCGCATCCCGCCTCCCTCGATCCTCGCAGCCAGCGTGGGAGTATGCGGCGCTCGCCTCCCTGTGACGCGAACCACAGAGGCCGTCGTTGTGTACAGTGCGCCCATTTTTCCATTTAGTAATTGTTGCTTTTCCTTTGAAATCTCATTCGTTTTTTTCTCTCTCTCTCTTCCCCAGCTACTCTGCGGTCCAAGAAGGCACAGGTTACAATCCGGATTCGTTTGTGTCCGTTGAATTCGACCCCCATGCAACTGTGGCCGTGAGTAGCTTGGAGCTGAGTGTGTTTGTGCGTGTGTGTATGTGTGTTGTGTGTGAGAGAGAGAGAGAGAGAGAGAGAGAGAGAGAGAAGAGAGAGAGAGAAGAGAGAGAGAGAGAGAGAGAGAGAGAGAGAGAGAGAGAGAGAGAGAGAGAGAGAGTAATTACCAGACTATATAGATACGAGAGAGAGAGAGAGAGTAATTACCAGACTATATAGATACGAGAGAGAGAGAGAGAGAGAGAGAGAGAGAGAGAGAGAGAGAGAGAGAGAGAGAGAGTAATTACCAGACTATATAGATACGAGAGAGAGAGAGAGAGAGAGAGAGAGAGACTATATAGATACGAGAGAGAGAGGAGAGAGAGAGAGAGAGAGAGAGAAGTGTTCAGAGGGACCCAGCCGATGGACGTTTTCTGAAGAAGAAAAAGAATCAACTCTTTAGTACTTCAATCTGGAACATTTTTCTCTCATCTTACTCTCAACTTCAATTTTCCTGAGACACAATTATAGAGCACAATCATGTCCTTCCTCTTACTGCGTAATTTTTCATTTAATTTTTTTTATTTTTTATTTATTCATTTATTTATTCGTTATTTAGTTATTTATTTATTTATTTTATCAACACTGGTGTCCATTTAGTGGCTTGGGTTTGTTATATATGTTTTGTTTTTTTACCATAGGCCTACCTCCGTTTACATGTATGAATGCTTTCTTCGTGTGCAAAGATTATTCCAAGACATAAACGAGTTATTTTTGGAATTTTGCTGTAAGTGTACCCCATTGTGTGTGTGTGTGTGTGTGTGTGTGTGTGTGTGTGTGTGTGTGTGTGTGTGTGTGTGTGTGTGTGTGTGTGTGTGTGTGTGCGTGTGCGTGCGTGCGTGCGTGCGTGTGTGTGTGTGTGTGTGTGTGTGTAAGCGTGAATTTGCCTTTGCACATGCTTTGGTGCTTGTGCATCATACTACCAAAGTATCCCTTGAACTATACCAGACTAGACCTATTCAAATAATCCTAAAAGCAGATCAGTAAAATACAATTCATCCATACAGCATATTACAGCACAATACATCAGCCCCATACAATACTCACCCAAGCAATACAGCACACCAATACAACAAATCCACGCATACAATACAACAGCCCCCATCCCTCCCCCACAATACAATAGACCAATTCAATACAATACCCGTTAATACAGTGCAATACATCAGTCCAAGTCTTTCAAAATCCTATCTTCTATCCCAGGGTTTTGTGGACAGAACGGACCTTGTATTCAAGGACACGGGCGCGGATCCTGTTACCTGTCCAGCGAGCGACATACAGGTAAAAAAAATGGGCGTGAATGGGCGGAGGTATTTCTCTTCACGTATTAGTCTGTTTTACGTGGTTCCCTGTGAAGTGATTTGTGTGTTCTTGGTGTTGTGCTGTTTCTATCGTTATTGGGATTATCCCTATGGTTAGAATCACTACGATTATCATGTATCGGTGTTTTCATTAACGATTATGTTTTGTCTTCAAATTCATTTTTTTCTCTTCTTTCTGTTTGTTTTTTTTTCATGTTCAGATTTCTTGTCTTTTATTCTTCTTTCCTTTTTTCAGCCTCACGCTTTTGTTATCTCTTTGTCTTTCCCACATTTTCCATCATTAACATCATTACCATTGTTAGCACTCTCACCTTTATCATTATCATCCTCATCATCATTATCATCATCATCATTATCATTATCATCCATCCATCCTTCATCCATCCTTGATTCATCATCATCATTATCATTATCACCTTGATCCATCATTATCATCATCATCATCATCATTATCCTTGATCCCATCGTTATCGTCGCCCATCATGATCGTCCGTGGTGCATCACCCGAGTGAACTTCCTCCTTCGTCGCCTCCAGGGTTGCTCCTTCGGTCCCGTCACGGAGACGCCCAAGGAAATCAATGACGTCGGCACCCTCGCCCTCACCACGCAGCTGGGCTCCCTCACCTTCAACGCCATCGTGGGCGTTAATAAGATCACGGTAAGGAGTGGGCGCGTGAGGAGACCCGTGGGCGCTGGGAGAGGGAATGGGGTGGAGTGAATGAGTGTGCGGGGGGAGGAGGGAGGGGAGGGAGGGGAGGAGAGGGGGAGAGATTCTATTTCATCAGGTAAGGGTTGTTTATGGAACTGTGAATATTTTCCCTGTAAAAAACCCAAGCATCTATCCAAACTGCCTGTGCTTCTGATTACGTAAAAGGTTGTCGGTCAAATGTTAATTTTATAAGCTTGAAGAGTTGTAACATGATGTTTGCTTCTAATGACATGCCTTATTTCCAAAATGCCAATCAAATTAAAGAACGGACAAGTGGCCACATTAGAATGAGCATAACCAGCAAGGGATATTACCTGGCCAGTGCTATTTGAAACAACAGGATGGATCTTTCGTGCTTCAGAGTTGGTGTGAAATAGTTGGGGGCGTGTGGGGTGGGAGAGATGAAAGGGGTCTTGTCTTGCTGGTTCATTCGGGAGGTAAAGGTGTTGCCCCCGAGAGTGACCCCGTGGCTCAAGTGCCGAGGGCGGAGGTGTCCTGGGACTCCTGCTAGGTCTTGGTCTGCTCCTGGTGCTCTCTCCCTCTGCCTGACGAGACGTCCTTATATCCAGCGACTCCTTGTCCTGCTGGCGGAGGTGCCTCGTACCCTATTCTTTGGGTGTCCATTCTTCCGGGCGTGACGAAGGGCTGGTCGCCGGAAGGGAAAGTCTTGGGCTGGCAAGGAAGGTGCGAAGCCAGGAAGTAAGGCAACTGTAATGCCTAGGTGTGAAGCCCAACCCATCCAGTTCTACATAGCGCACCTTTTGTAGTGGCGGCAGGAAACTGGCTTTACCTCTAAAAGCAATTTCAGAACATATTGTAGTATATGTTGATATCCTATGCGCAGTCTGGTCTGTGTATTTTGCTGGTCCTGTGACAGTCGACTGGGTACTATATAGGGTTTCAGCCTTTTGTGAACTAGACCTGACCCTCCGAATCTTCTGAAATACGTCTTAGTATGAGATAATGGCATTGGTTCTTTATGAGGAGGAGAGAGAGAGAGATAGTGCTAGATAGTGAGAACAAAGTCAAACAGAATTTAAGCAGCTCTAAAGAAGCCAACCCCTTTCTTTAGAGCTGTATAAATTCTGTTTGACTTTATTCTCATATTCAGTTCTCTCCTTCCTTCTCTCCCTCACTCTCTGCTTCTCTTTCTCTCCGTCTCCCTTTCTTCCCCCCTCTCTCTCTCTTTCTCTCCGTCTCCTCTTCTCTCCGTCTCCCTTCTTCTCTCTCTGTCTCCCTTTCTCTCTCTCTCTCCGTCTCCCTTTCTCTCTCTCTCTCTTCCGTCTCTTTCCGTTCTCTCCGTCTCCCTTTCTTCCCCCCTCTCTCTCTTCTCTTCTCCGTCTCCGTCTTCTTCTCTCTCTCTCTTTCTCTCCGTCTCCCTTTCCCCCTCTCTCTCTCTTTCTCTCCGTCTCCCTTTCTTCCCCCCTCTCTCTCTCTTTCTCTCCGTCTCCCTTTCTTCCCCCCTCTCTCTCTCTTTCTCTCCGTCTCCTTTCTTCCCCCTCTCTCTTCTTTCTCTCTTCTCCCTTTCTTCCCCCTCTCTCTCTCTTTCCCTCCGTCTCCCTTTCTTCCCCCCTCTCTCTCTCTTTCTCTCCTCTCTCTCTCTATCCCGCACTCCGTACCTAACCAATCTCTTCTTCTTCTTTCTTTCTTTCTTCTTTTATAGGGTTTTAGACCATTTTTTAGTCTATATTCCCTTAACCAATCTCCTTCCCACGCCTCCCAGACCCTGTACACCGACAACTCGCTCCTGATCCTCGCCCCGACCTCGAAGTACGAAGAACTAGGGGGGCTTTGCGGCGAATACAACGGCGACCCCTCCGACGACCTGACCATACGCGACGGGACGGTCACCACGGATTCGGCGGCGTTCGTTACGGATTGGAAGGTAAGGGGGGGGGGGGGAGGGGGAGGGGATACGGTAATAGCGACTGTGATGCGTTGATTAGCCGAAATGGCTCCCTTTCGATTCAGCATTTGTCTGAGGAGGAACTCGTGAAGGGATCGAAACGTAACGTTCTATTTTCATTTCTTGTGGTGAATGATTTCCTTTTCATATGATACTGTGTATGGAAGAGGGGGTAGTAATGGCAATTATAATGCATATAATACAGGTGGCAGTAATAGCTGTAATAATGATAAAAATGTGATAATATATGGAATCGTGATAATAATGATGACAGTATTCATGATAACAATAAAGCTATCATGTTTTGTCAATACTGTTATCATCCTTATCGTCATTAGCATTATCCTTACTATTATTATTGTCATCATCATTATTCTTATTACTATTGTTGTTATCATCATAATCATCCTAATTATCATAATCATGGTCACTGCTTGCTTTGTTTTTATATATTTGTTATTGCCATTCCACAGCATTGTTATTCCTACTTTAACTACTACCTCTCTCCATTGTTAATGTTGCTGTTATTGTTTACTTTATGGCATTTCTTTATCTACAAAGCTTTATCTCATAGTTTTATTGCATCGTCTCTTCAGATGGATCCTACGTGTGTTAGCACTCCAGCGGCAAGAGAGCTGAAGAGCATGGTAAGCCTCTCTTTCCATCTGTCTATCTGCCTGTATGTCTGTCTGTCTGTCTGTCTATCTGTTTATTCACCTATCCGTCTCTCTCTCTGTCTGTCTGTCTGCCTCTCTCTCTCTCTCTCTCTCTCTCTCTCTCTCTCTCTCTCTCTCTCTCTATATATATATATATATATATATATATATATATATATATATATATATATATATATATATATTATATATATATATATATATATATATCTGTCTCTCTCTCTCTTCTCACTCTCACTCTCACTCTCTCTCTCTCTCTCTCTCTCTCTCTCTCTCTCTCTTTCTCTTCTCTCTCTCTCTCTCTCTGCATTTACAAGAGGCGCTCATTAAAGATTTCCCGTGACTCACCTCCGCTTGTCTTAAGAGGCTGCATTTTCTCGCCCGTAAAGATACACATCTCTATAGGTCATGTGTGCGTGTGTGTGTGTGTGTGTGTGTAGGCGTGTGTGTGTGGTTTACACGGAATAATAATTAGCATCTTCCCTTCTCCCAGACGGACTCCTGTGCCTCCCTTACGCCGCAGACTCTTTCCGAGCTAACTCTGGAATGCGAGAACATCATCTCGACCTACATGAACGTCACTGAACCGATGATGAGTTTGTGTTCACCGATGTTTTCTTTGTATTGCATTCGGTTTTTGGATCATATTCGCACAGTTTTTTTTTTTCTAATGATAGCCTATAAAGAGCATGGCAATACTAGAGATGGTCATAACCTACAGTGATACTGATAATGCTAAATCGAATAACATTGAACATTGCTGCCACCACTTGACTCAAGTGCACCTTCATTCGTCAACGTTTACTTATAAAATCCCCTTTCTATCTCGCTTTTACAGATAACTGCAAGCAAATTCTGTGTCAGTGCGAACTAATCGATGTGGAATCGTGCCTACCGTCCCTACAGGAGCTCTCGGCCACCATAGCCCAAGTGCACAAGAAGGAGAAGAGTAAGTCAATTTATTATTTTCTTTCGTTGGTGAGCTAAAGAAAAATAAATTCTCCCTTTCTTTGGCCTCCGTTTGTGGGTAGGTGTCAAGAAATATACAGAGACAGATTGAAGAAGAGAAATTATATTCGTATATGCACATCAAATTTATGTACGCACACTTGCGCAAACAGAGGCAGAGGCAGATGTAAATATATGTAGACGCGAGTAGGCAGATAGATAAATGTATAGATAGATATACTAGATAGATATAGTCAGACAGATATAGAGGGAATCATGTAAATACAAACATATATATACATAAATTGATATATATATAGACTCAACCATAAACATTGATTAAGAGACAAACATATGACAAACAAATTCAAACCTATACACAGACAGCCATAGCTACACACACGCAGATTAAGATAGAGACAGACAATAATAAAAACACACATAGCTCATCCATGTAACCTAAACCCACCTGCTTCCCTCCACAGGTCCCTCCGACCTGGAGGAGCTGCTGCAAGGGTCCCTGGTCTAGGCGCCTCCTTCCAAGACCTCCGCTCGAGACGCTCTAGCCTAGGTGCCTCCGCTCTGCACAGCGTCACGGAACAGCGGCGCTTCCAGTGGGGTGCCAGCTGTTCGGTCAGAGCGGTGCCGGACAAGAGGAGGGACGCTGTTGAGGATTTCATTATTGTTATTATCTTTATTTTGTTTTTTATTCATTGTGATTATTATTGTTCTTGTTATTTTTGTTATCTTTATTTTCCTTATTATTATCAGTTATGTAGGAGGCACCAAGTAAGACAATCTATTTATCTGCTGTTTCATTATCCTTATACGTGGAGTTGTAGCCTGTATGGACATTGTATACTGTATGTACACACCCACTCCCACACACACACACACACACACACACACACACACACACACACACACACACACACACACACACACATACACGTGTGTGTGTGTGGATGTGTGTGATTTTACAAGTCTCTGTCTCTCTCTGATCTCCCATTTTTGGGTTTATATCAAGACTTCATTTTATCCCCTCGTGCTTTCTGTCTTTCTCTTCTTTCTTCCTACCTCCTGCTGGTTGTCGGACACCTCTCGAGAGCCATTCGGTGTAACCCTGGAGAGCTGGTTTGTGGCGGCCGCTGGCACCTCCCTCCCGCTATCCGTCGGTGGCGAGGGAGGACGCCGAGTGTCCAGAACGGTGGTGGTCTGAGGTCCGTTCTTGCCTCAACGATTTTCTACGATTTTTAAAAACAGCAGTGGTGATTCTTTAGAATAAAATTGCTTGAATTAAATTTAAAAAAACAGTTCATATGGAAGGTCTTTTGCAAACAGAATGATAACAGAAACGGTGAACAGTAATAATGGATTCTATTTTTGTTGGCCTTTGCCATACAATCAGCGCCGCTTGGTGTTTTTATTGCTATTCTGCCAATTAAGGTAGAACTCTTAAACAATGACTTCCTGTATCTTATCATGGTATATCATGTTTTTTATTTATTTATTTATTTATTTATTACTAATATAGATTTTTTTTCATCTGTTCCCGAGACATTATATCATACACTGTTAGTATGCGACATAACTTCGAGGTCGCATGTGAGAACGGTTAGTTACAGAACACCGCGCCTTGACTAAAGGGGAAACTTCCTTAGTACGTCTACCCGCCTGGCTGAGGAGGCCGCCCCTGACCTTGCAGCTCTGTTGAAAACTTCTGTTGAATGGCTGCACGAGTGTCCACCTCTGGCCAGAGGATGTGCGAATCACCATAATCAATTATTCGATTTTTGAGCAGGTAATCCAGGTCAGATTAATCGATTCCGGGACGCTAGCGGCAGGGAGTGAGATTACGAAATCAAGTAAGAAGCATCTTGGTGGACGAAGAAATTCTCGAACGGCATACCATTCTTTGCCGTTGTATTTACCAGCAAGTTGCAGGGCATCGGAGTGGAATTACCGTTGGTTGTCGCTAACCAATAATCAACAGTTCTTTAACGGAAGGAGACTGAAGGGTCACGGGACTCTGGAGCTAACTGAAATCTGCGAGCGATGAGAGAGAGAGGTTTGTCACTGTCGACGGACCGGTTCTCCTCCTCCTTGCAAGGTCACGTTCCTTTGCAATATTCAACCTTCCTATTTTCGAGCAACTGACTGCCTTGCACAGTCACTCTAGCAAGGAGGATCACCCAGGCAGCTTGCACGATAGGCTCAGGAAACACGAGGAATATCGCAAGTAGTGCATGTAAGTTCTATTTCATGATTTGTTTGCTCAACGCGCCACCTTTTAGGATTGTCCTCAGGATCGTCCTTTTCCTGCGAATGGATTCCTCTTCTTCATTTTTGCAAGGAAGAAAATTCACATTCGTTATATAGCATTCGTTCTTCAAATGGCTTCGTTTTATTTATTCACTTCGTTCTGCGGGAAATTCTCATAAGTATAATGGGGATTGAGAATTACCTTCCTAGTCGGAATATTATATATATATATATATATATATATATATATATATATATATATATATATATATATATATATATATATATATATATATATATATATATATATATATATATATATATATATATATATATATATATATATATATGTATGTATATTATATATATATATATATATATATATATATATATATATATATATATAATTCCGACTAGGAAGGTAATATGTATATGTGCATGTATGTATATTCTCTCTCTCTCTCTCTCTCTCTCTTCTCTCTCTCTCTCTCTCTCTCTCTCTCTCTCTCTCTCTCTCTCTCTCTCTCTCTCTCTCTCTCTCTCTCTCTCTCTCTCTCTCTCTCTCTCTCTCTCTCCCTCCCTCCCTCTCTCTCCCTCCCTCCCTCCCTCTCTCTCCCTCCCTCCCTCTCTCTCTCTCCCTCCTCCCTCCCTCCTCTCCTCCCTCCCTCCCTCTCTCCCTCCCTCCCTCTCTTTCTCTCTCTCTCTCTCTCTCTCCCTCTCTCTCTCTTTATAGAAGGGAGCAATAACTGCAGAGCCGGAAGGAGCCAGAGGTCATCCAGCAACACCCATAAAGGCAGGATGACTCCGCCCCTTTTTGGAGGTCAGCTGCTCCCTGAAATGTCCGCAGCGGCACAAAGAGAACGGCGTGTACCGCTGATGCCGCTGCGATATCCAGATGTTGTAAATTAAAAGTAGAAAATATAGTTAATCCAGAGAGAGTGAGTGATAGAGAGAGAGAGGGGGGGGGGGAGAGTGAAGGAGAGACAGAAAGAGTGAGAGAGATAAGTAGGTGGGGAAAGGGGGGGGAAGACTGAGAGAGAGGGAGGGAGGAGAGGATAGAGAAGTGAAGGAGAGAAAGAGAGAGAGAGGGGGGAGACAGAGAGAGAAGAAGAGGGAGGAAGGAAAGAGGGATAGAGAGAGGGGAAAGGGATAGAGAACGGGGACAGAGAGAGGGAGAGAGGCGGGGGAGACTAAGAGAGAGAGAGGAAGAGGGAGGGAAGGAAAGAGGGATAGAGAGGACAAACAGACAAAGAAAAAAAAACAAGTCAAGACATAGGAGGTACAATGAGAGGTTTAGTGATAATAAATATCTGCAAATCATAGAACAGACAAATCATAAAAAATATATAAGAAAACGCTGATCCTTGAAACTGCCTATTGGGTGTAAGACAGCATACAGCAAGAGCAGCACAATGCATTAAAAGGCAGCATTATAGACGAAAGAGTAATGATAAGCCAAGTACAAAGAATTAATACAGCACTAAATGAGAAGGAGTATAAGGGAATATCAAATTCTCATTTGTACATCACTGACGAGATCGGTTCAAAAGTCATTCAAAATATATATATATAGGGACTGACTTATATCTTTCAAGTATGCTGCCGGGAATACGAATTTTGGGGGATTTCCGAGCAGAGTACGAATTGCGTTCACTCATATGTTATCTTGGTGTGCATGATAAAATAACCATTAGCGAGTTTCAAATGCACGGAGCAACTCATTAAGCGAGATATGAAGTGCTATCACCTTTCATTAACAGTCAAGGTGAGATTTAGTCGCTTTTCAATTTATTTCGTTCGTGTGAAAGCTGACCAGATAACGGTGGAATACTGATGCTTTTCGTCGCTCAGAAAGTAAAAGCACTGAATGAAAAATATCCGAGGGAAACACATTCGCAAAATGGGTAATAGATAAACCTGGGCATTCACTTGGACGAGGTAATTGGCAGGTTATTCTGAAGCGAATATGCAGGTCGGTAAATTAAACTAATCACGAAGCGCTATGAACGAAATACATACAAACAAACTATAAATAAAGAAAAAATAAAAAAAAATCATTTGTAAGTGTTTCTTTAAACAGCTGTAAACTTCCCTTTTTTAATAGCTCTTTTGGGTCCCTTGTTCTTTACCATAATATCTAATAGATGTCCTCGTTGTTCTCCATGACAAAAAAGAACGAGTTAATGAACCCACCAACCTGCACGAACCATCGTAACATCGCAATAAACATCTCATTCAGTTGACAAGTGATCTGTATGCATTTCAGATCTGGAAATTCAATCTATCACCGAGAGATATATAATTTCCAAGCTGCCTCGTCCTCGGGTTCAGGTTTAAACTCAGGCCGAGATAAGTCGTATTAGAAGTCAGAACACAACACCATTCGTTATGAAGCTTGGAAGAGAGTGATCTGACGTTGTCCTTCTGTGTGCAATTCATGGCGAACAGATGGCAACAGGAACAACGAAGGGAAGGGCAAGAAAACACAAGAATATGGCATATTCGTGTGTTTTCTTGCCCTTCCCTTCGTTGTTCCTGTTGCAATTTGTCCTTGTGTGCGAATCATCAAGGGAGATTTTGTTCGCTGAATTAGACAACGGATAAGAAAGAAAGACAGGCAGACAAGCAGAGAGAGAGAGGAGGGGAGGGAGAGAGATAGAGAGGGGGAGGGAGAGAGATAGAGAGGAGGGAGGAGGGAGAGATATAGAGAGAGGGGGAGAGAGCGAAGGAGGAGACAGAAAGACAGGGAGAGAGATAAGTAGGGGGGGAGGGGGATGGAAGACTGAGAGAGAGGGAGGGAGGAAAGGATTGAGAAGTGAAGGAGAGAAAGAGAGAGAGGGGGGGAGGAGACTGAGAGAGAGAAGAGGGGGGAAGGAAAGAGGGATAGAGAGAGGGGAAAGGGATAGAGAACGGGGACAGAGTGAGACAGACAGGAAGAGGGAGAGAGGGGGAGACTAAGAGAGAGAGAGGCAGAGTGAAGGAAAGAGGGATAGAGAGGACAGACAGAGAGAAAAAAAAAAAAAAAAAAAAAAACAGGTCAAGACATAGGAGGTATAATGAGAGGTTTAATGATAATGAATATCTATAAATCATAGAACAGACAATTCATAATGAATAAATAAATAAATAAATATATATATATATATATATATATATATATATATATATAATATATATATATATATATATAAGAAAACGCTGATCTTTGAAACCTCAAGCGCTGCCTATAACATGTTTGTGCGTTTGTGTTTACGCTAATATATTATGTTTTATTGTATTCTTGAAGATGAATTATTTTTCATCAAAACGCATTTTTATCAAAATACAATAATGTAAAAATAAACGTGATCAATAATAAGAATACTTAAAGTGAGAAAATAAAAATGTAAGTAGCAGCAAATGCGACTCGGTTGTCATAGCAACAGACTGTAAACAAACAAGAGAACGTGTAGGTTACTCAAAATGTTTCTTTGCAGAGAATTTTAAGCCTGTTCTGATTATTTTGTTTCATGATTGCTGTAAGAAAGACCGAGACAAGGTTTGGCATGGAAGGTATTCGTCACAGACAAACGTTAGAGTAAGTAAAGCCAAAAGTACTTTTAACTTTTGAACTTTATCTTTAAAATTAAATTGAGACAAAATTACTTGTTGCTCAAGTTTAAGGAAATAGGATATATGTTAGATGGATTTGTGTTAGGTGCATAGGATAAGAAAGAGCTAAGGTCACAGCCATTATGACACATAAAGCAATGATAAAAATGATTTATTGACAGTAAATGGACGGCTCCAGCACTTATATTTGCACAGTAAAGTCTAGGGATACGTGGCCTCCACAACTCACTTTTTTGCAGCGGCAATCGAGCCTCCACAATGTATATTCTAGCAAGACAGCTTGTTGGTTTCTCTGGAAATTTGACATTAAATAAGGTACCTGTCAGAGCTCTGTCTTTTCCTTACCCTCTGAACTCCTGTTTTTGGGTTTATATCATGGGGATTTCTCGGAATTTTCTCGAGCCTTAAGAGTGGAAATTATGGTGTCATTTCATGCAAGCCTATTCTGATGCTGTTCTTACCAACTACTATATTTTGTATTAAAAAGATTACCTTTGATATCGTAGATGTGTCTGCATATGGAGATAATCTATGTTGCATGAACTCTCTGTTAGATTTATTCCACTACCAATAGTTGCCAAGTGCTGCCAGAATATTGTGTATCAGCCAACCCAAGCAAGTGCCAGGTAAAATCTCTGTTGACCAAATACTAATTACTACACTGACCTTGGATATCTATACACCAAATATAGGTATTGGTAAATAAAATGTAGACAGTAAGCCATATTTTGACAATAGTACACTACAGTTCATTCCAAAGAGAGTTTAGCAAAGTGTTTTCTATTGATAATAAGCAGGGTGATGGCTGTACTTCTTGTGACATTTAGTATGTGGGATCTGTTTCAACGTATTATATGCTGTGGTTTGTAATGCATTAATGTTTCATGTAGCTTTGATAATATAAGGGCTATATTTATCAGTTTGACTGTCTATAAAGTACATTTTGTTCAGTCAGGATATCCACTGATAATTCTTCCCTGAATCACACAATCTGAGTGAATCTTACTTTTGCAAATGGCACTTAACTGAACTGAACCAAAATAAGGTCAACTTGACATACCAGTACCTCAGCCTTCCCCTTTTTAGTTGAGTTGGTCCACATGTTGGCTCAGATTGAATACAACCAAGTCATACGTCTCTCCTTTCTTTCTTCCCAAGTTGGCTTGAGTTAGGTTATCCAACCAGACCATAGATATAAAGGAAAGTTTAACTGACCTTATGAGGTAGAAGACCAGTTTTGTAGTATAAGCCAACCTAGCCATACAGGAAAACAAATTTGGTAGTAGTCTGGGTAAGCAATGGACTGGGCTGAATTGAAAGGACATAGTGCAGCACATAGATACCTGTGCCAGTGCATTACATTTCCTCAGTAGATAAAATCATATCCTTAGGCAGTATAAATTGGATATGCAAAGTAAATCACTGTTATCAAAGTCTGCATTTTTAATTCAAACAGGTTTTGATTTTATTGTTTTTGTTTTCCATCATGATTATTTTTCTCAGACCCGAAGATGGAATCGAGGACGATTCCGAAGCTGTTGTCTCACTTTCTTCAATAAATCTAGTTTGTGTATAGTGGGTTTTTCTTCCTTATTATCAACACGGTATTGTGTTTTTCATTGCATGCATTATATCATTGATATTATTATTTTAAAACATTGCCTTTATCAATAGCATTATGATTGCAGATAAGAACTACAACAAGAATTCACAGACATCAATTTGATCATGGGTGACATGAGTGAATATTATCGCCAAATATCAGAAATTCAAAAGGCAGTGAGAGAAAGGTAATGTAATCATATGTTATTATCATTATCATGTCATGTTTGCAGTAATTTTCAACCCATGATGTAATACCTGCATGCATATACAGTAAGCTTACTGTATGAAATGTATATGAATTAATCAGTGAGCTCACTCAGTATCATGATTAAATACTTTGCCATACCATACTGTCACTAATGCAAATATTTCTTTTCAGAGAAATGTATCGGTTAGAATTGGAAAAAGAGAGATTGCTGAAGACACAGAGAAGAGAAAAAAGGTATTGTATAATTTTTTTTTTAATTGGATAAAAGATTCATTGCAGCATTAGTTTTGAAATGCTTCAATATTATGAATAGATATCATGGTGTGGATATTATGATAAAATTAGTTTGGCATTTATTTTATTGTATACAATATATTTTTAGCTACTTAAATTCTTATTGCTGTAATACAAATTTTCTCTGTATTGTTTCTATTTCTGTACCCTACAAATACTCTTTCCCATATTCTTATTTTTACGTAGCTGCAATTGCTTATGTGTATAGCCCCTGCACTATCATGTTCCTGATTCAGTGTTGCTAGTTTGTGAACCACCAGTCTCTAAGTCTTTTGTTTAAAATACGTCATTAAAAGGAGGGAGCATGAATTTTGGATACAAGAATCAGAACACAAACCGGTATGAGTAGGAGGCTTGAATTTTGGATGGCAAGGCAAAACACTTGCTAGCATGAGTTTAGGGAATGCATTTTGGATAAAGGACTCAAAATTTATGCTATTATGATTAGGGGACATGTGCTTCAGATACAAGAGTTAAAAACACAGTACAAGTAGGGAGCAAGTGTTTTGGATACGAGAGTTGAAATACATGCCAGCACAAGAAGAGGCCATGTGTTCTGGGTATCTATTGGTCAATATGAGCAGGTGACAAGTGTTTTAGATACAATTGGTGAAATGAAATGGTTGTTTGAGTATGGTGACAATGCTTTTGGATACAAGAGTGAAGGCATGTATCCATATGAGTAGAGGACATGTGTTTCAGATGCAAATTCAGAATTGATATTTCACATATTGGTTTCTTTGAGTGGCAAACTTAGAAGTGGAAAGGGACTGAATATTGAATGTTGACCTTTCATTTGTCCACCTCTCAAGTATCCCTCTTTAACCAATATTTTAAAGACATGAAGAGTTGCGGGCCAAGATCAAGTCTCTACACAAAGAGCTGGTTAGAGAGGAGTTAGAAGCTGCCCAGAGAGTGCGCAGATTATTATCTCAGGTGGAGGCCGTGACAAGAGAACACCAGCTCTTAGAAGCTCAGACGGAAAAACTGCGAAATAGGAAGGTAATGTGAAAGGAGGACAGTGAGGGTTATATAAGGTTCTAGTTATCTTTTTTTCTAATTTTAAGTAATTAAGTGATTTTTGAGAACTGAGGAAGACTATATTGAGTAGGTGTTAATGGGTTTGTTTCATTCTTATTTATCTTGCATATGTAGGGGGTAAAGGAGCTTGAGAGTAAATTTTCAGTTATTGATTCCATGAAGTGACATTATAATAGTTCAGTAGAAAGTGAAATTTAAAATATACCCAGTCACAATTTGATAAAAACTGAAAAGAGCTTTCTTTTTTATGATTGCTTCTGTAAGTTATTTACAGGAAGAGTATTGTTATTTTAACCAAGACATTAGCTACTTTCTAAGACTTTTAATGGTCTTATTTCTTCTTTTAAAGCAACAATATGAGGCACAACTTGAAATGGCCATTCCCAACTTGAAAAGCAACTCTTCACATTCTTATCTCAATGATTTGTATCAAACAAGTATGTATTTTTCTATTATTATTATTATCATTATTCTACTGCTTTCCATTTTTTATGTATGTTCTAATCATAGGTACTGTGCAACACATTTTTTTCCATTTGTTTAAATATGTAAAGGCATTTATCTTATAATCCTAATCCAGTTTGTCTTCCTATGTAGCAAACTTGGTTTTATATTGCATCATGAACATTAACAGATTGTACTTCATTTGATTTGTCTTTTTGCTATATATACATTTTTTTATGCACTATAGGCATATATCATGTTTATTTTTTTCCAAATACATTTGTTAAACTTTTCCTTTCAGTTGGACAAGGCTTCATACCATCTGCAGCAAGTGCTGGCATTTTTCCCCAAGGAACTAACATCTTAGGAAATTTTCCTCAGGGGACAAACACCTCAGGCTCTATACTTCAGAGAGCCAGCACTCCTATGCCAACCTCATCCATACCCAGTCTGAACCCTTTTTCTGCAGCTGTTCCTCAGGTATCACCCATAGTTCCTTCATTAGCTCCTACCACTCATGGGTCAGTTCAACAGCCAGGAAATAGCTTTGCATCTGGCATTATGGCTGGTCAGGTCACCTCTAACCAGATGACTGTGCCCCATCCTTTACTACAACCAGGAATGCCTCAACCCTCATTGAGTCAGCAGGAAGAGTTAGCAAACAGAAACATAAATTTGCCAAATGGAGGTCTTGTCACATCAGCTGCATCTGCTGTGCCTGTTATCACTTCCCAGATTCAGTATCCTTATCAGGAGAATGCTCCTAGGGCTCCTTTATCTGAACAAGGAGGTTTTAACACTTCTCCATCAAATCCATCATCTTTTGTGGCCAGAAATCTATCTTTAGGTTATGAAAGTGGTCATTTGATGCCTGAAGCACACCAGGGACATGTGGGAGTTACCTCTGATAAGCCTCTTCATCAAGATCCTCTGCATCAACCCTCTCACACTCTTGCATCACAGGCAATTGCAAACTCAAATCAGAATCCAGTAGATGAATCTATGGGCACTCTTTCCTTCCAAGCTATGCAAAGAGAATCCGCAGTCAATTCTGTTCCCACAGGAAGGACAGACACTACTTCTACAGCTCCTCATTTACAGACAATAAGCACTTATCAAAATAATCAAGGTATCAGTGCTCCAAACATGTTAGAAAATTTAGCAAGGAAGATGAAGGCAGAAGAGCAACAAATAGATCATGCAGCTCCTTTGCAAAATGAGACTCCAGTAAATAACAGCTCCTCCAGACTAGCAAGTCAGCAGTCTGAAGAAGCTAGTACAAGCACCGGCCTTCCCACTAGGCCTACTGTTACTGGACTTTCAGAAGCTCACAGCATTGATTCTGTACAGGCAAATAATGAAATGATGGAGGAGAGCCTCCCTCTTTCTCCCCAAGAACAAGCTCCCTCCCAGGAGAGAAGTGGATCCAATGAACAGTCAGCTTCAACGGTAGAAAATCAGCAAGGAGAAATATCTCGTCCAACTCTTGGAAATATAGACAGTGCCTCCAAACCTGCTTCTCATGATTTATCATACAGTGGAAATAGTGTAGACTCCAGCTCTACTTACAATATACCTGACAATAAGCAGCTAGAGAGGAAGCCAGAAAATGCTGAAAAACAGTTACAAAACAAGGGAGGCTCAAAACCAGGAGACACAAAAAAACAGTCTGAAAATAATACCAAATTAGAATCAGAAAATGCTGTAAAAAATGCCAGTGAAACAAATGATGATGCCAAAGTAACCACAGCCAAAGAAAAAACAGCAGGACCTCATGAGCAGAAAGACACCCAGCCAGAATCTAAGGACAATACCACTCCTTCAACAACAACTGGGAGTAGTAACCAAAAATCACTACCATCTGCTCCATCAACTGATGAGAAAACCATAAGCAATAGTAAAACTTCTTCACTTCAGTCAAAAGACCATCAAAGTTCCTTAACCTCTACTCCATCAGATGAAAAAGCTAATGATGAAACCCAGGCATCATCACCCACACCTCTTACAGACACAAAGAAACCAAATCCCAGCGAGCCAGAAAAGAAGACTGTCGTCCAAACTGTGAAAAAAGATGACCCTGTTTCAAAGCCCAATACCTCAAAGGTACAAGTCAGCCAGCCTTCAGTCAGCTCTCTGACAGACACCTCCAGCACAGCACCAACACCTTCCCTTCCAGTCAGACCTTTACAGTCCAAACCTTTCACAGTCCGGGATCCAGACGATGATTCAGACTTCTTTGATCGTGATGTTCCTGTCACTGGTAAGTGGTTGCTAGTATCATTATCTGAGTATTTTGCTTTTTTTAAAGTAAAATGATAGAAAGTCTCTTAGATTATATGTATGAGATGAATAGCAAATTGCTTTGAATTAAATGAAATGAAAATCTTGAGATATATATACATCTGTGCATACATGCTTTGATTTTTTCTGTATTTATATTTTTCCTTTCATTCTTTTCTTTTTCTTTGCATTGCTCCTTTATCTTTCTCTCTTCTTTTCCGTACTTTATTGCCTGATCATTACCTTTATTTTTGTCCCAGCGACAGCAGCATACAAGGCCATGGTGTCAGGTACAAGAGGGCCAGGCACAGGCATCCCGACGGAGAGCGACAGTGATGACCTTGAGAACCAGATGAGCGCCATGGTGGCCAAGCGAGATGTGCCAAAGTCCAGGTAAAGATGCCAGATGGGGCTGGGAAATGGTAATGAATATAGATAAAGAATTAGATGTGGTTAACCCATTGGGGATGTGAAAACATGCCATGTAGAGACTAGCAACAGATAGATGACATCTTATCACATCACAAGTTTAAGTCCTGATTGCTGAGATGAAATCTTGGGCAAGCTACTACAAAGTGGATAGTTGCCCAGGTACAAAATTGATGAAATTTATCAAACAGTTTTCCTGCTATTGGGTGAAAGAATAGTGAATTAATGATAATGAAGCAATAAGAGGATAAAAGTATATAAAGAATAGGTGTTGGTATAAAGACTGCTATCCAGTGATCCATAGTTACCATTTGATTATCCAATCATTCAAATTTATTTTATTATGCAAAGATATGCAAACAAAGTAAGGGAAAGATAATTATAAAGAACATTTTGCCGGAAAGGTGTTGCAATGAGCATACATTGAAGCTTTAGAAATACTTTTTTCCAGTCCAGTAAGCATTACTTATTACAGGCATGTATTATGCCATTCAATTTCAGGACACTATAAAATTGCATGATCAATAAGCCTGTAATTGATCGTTCTCAGTAATTCAGCTTTATTAGCTACTAATGATTTTGAATTTTTCAGGCCAAATTTTAAGCCTTTTGCGTCAAGTATCCCCTCACTACGACCTGCACCTCCCAGCACTGATACTGACAGTGTAGACAGTGTTGAAGCTGCTATACAGGCAGCAATGAACAAGCCTAAAGATCAAGGTATGAATATTGTAGTGTTACTGGATGTAGTTGTGATCCTTTGGAGTTGATATTTTGGTTCCATAATGATTAACATTTTCTGTTGTTGGGCTTTGAAAATTGTATTCAGGAATTGAAGCTTCATTTTCATAATAAGTGTAATAAAGAAAATTGTAGCAATGTACATGTTCACAACATATTGATAGGAATTCATCCTCTACCAAGACTTCCCATGAAGGTACCTGACACATATATTACTTGTAAATATATGTTCAAAGCAAACTTTTCATCCAGATGTGCCAATCTTTAACTGGTAATAGATGATGCTATTTTAGCTTTTTAAAGTGGTGACTTCACAGATGTAGAAAGTAGCACATGTACTTTTGATTTTTAAATAGAAGTAGAATTTAATATTGTTTAAGACATTTTTGAGAGACCTACAGTATATTTCTATTTTATCTAACACAGTACATGGTAAAAAAAATATTTAGAAGATATTAAACTAAGAACTTTACAAAAGGAAAATATCTATTTTGCAAAAACGTTAATGGATAATACAACTAAAATATATAAGTTAGGATTACAAATAGCATCCATTATGATGTCAAGCAATTTTTTTTTCCCAGCCATTATTGTTTTACACAATATGCATTTCATCCAATAATCCATGTCAGAATACCCCTAAGTCTCAGGAGTGAGGCAAGGCTGTGTCCTGGCACCAACACCCTTCAACACTTGCATGGACTGGATAATAGGCAGAGTTACTATCCAAAGTCAGTGTGGCAGTATCAAGGTCACAGACCTTGACTTTGTTAATGATGTTGCTATCCTAAATGAGTCTCTGGAATCTCTGGTGGTGGTTCTTGATGCATTTAGCGATGAGGCAAAGGCCCTCGGGTCAAGAGGTCTCCTGGACCAAGGCCAAAATCCAGGGTTTTGGTGGGCCTGTTAGGGAAACCTGATCAGTTGAAACATGCTTGTGTAGAAGACACTGAAGTCACAGAGAGCTTTGCATACCTTGGTAGCCCAGTCCATGCCTTTAGGCTGTCAGACCAGGAAGCCAGAAGATGGATTGGTTTGGCAGCAGGAGCCATGAAATCAGTCATCAAGAGGATTTGGAGATGCCGGTACCCTTATGGCAGAGAATTTGCATCTACCATTTGAGTGGTGTCTATTATCTCTTTGGGGAGTGAGTGGTGTGGGTATGAGTTCCCACAGGTATGACTGTGTGCTGGATGTGAATGGAGATCGATGGGGGTGCCATTGAGGCTCCCCGATGGTGGAAGCCTTTGCAGGCCTGGAGTTGCTGCTGCTGTGGTCTTGCTCAGTATGGAGGATCGTGGAGTGATGATCTCAGCCCAGTGCTGGAGCTTAAGTACGCTTAAGCTGTGCCAGCTACCCGGGAGCGAGGGGAGCCTGCAGTCTCAGCATTTGTCATTGAGAGGCTGCTGATGGTGAGGTGTGAGGATGTGGGTATGGACCTGAGACCCAACCTGGGGGAAGTATGCTGTGCTGCAGGCTGCAGGGGTTGGCTACACCATTACTATATGTCTTCTTCTAGGCCTTGATACTGTCAGCTTTGCTTTATGGAAGCAAAACATGGACATTATCTAATGCCTTGGAGTTGCATCTTGATGCCTTTTGTAACATGTTCCTATGCTGGATCATGGAGTACAGTTGGCAGGACCATGTGTCCAACCTATGGCTACACCATGAGACTAGCATAGGACCTGTTATTTGCATAATCCGGGACCACCAACTCAGGTTATACAGTCACCTAGCTCCTTTTCTTTTGGATGACCCTGCCCATCAGGATGTCTCTTCACAAGATGATCGTAAGTAGAGGAGGCTTGTAGAGTAACCTAGGGAGTCGTAGCTTGAGCAGATTGACCAGACCTGTTGCAAGGAACTAGAGATGGGCCGAGGGCCTGCCTGACAACTCACCAAGCAGGACCCCAGGGCTAGAAACAGAGGGTGGATGTGGCTATGCATCCCTGTCCACATTGATTGTTAGCCACATTGATTGATTAATGATATGCACTTAAAATCAAGATCTAGATATGTAGGAAATGAAAATAATTAATATACGAAAGATATTATCTATAAATATGGTGTGTGTGTGTGTGTGTGTGTTGTGTGTGTGTGTGTGTGTGTGTGTGTGTGTGTGTGTGTGTGTGTGTGTGTGTGTGTGTGTGTGTGTGTGTGTGTGTGTGTGTGCATGTGTGCGTGTGTGTGATAATCAACCCACCTATGAGAACGCTTCTCCTATCATCAGCCACACTTAGCACAACCTGAGTTGGCTCATACTTCTACACTGCCAATTACAAGCTGTGCCATAAAATCAGATAATTTACAAGTATGAAAATTTTTAAGGAGAGTGGTGTGAACTTTACTGATTAGTTTACAAAGTTATGTAATGAAAAGTTTGAAGAACAGTGGTTTAAATCACAAACTTTGGCACAACTTAATGGTATTGTTTATCCCACCAACCACAGGAGAGAAGCCAGCACTGCCATCTGAGACCGCTGCAGTTCCCAGTCAAGCAGAGAAGCCAACAGGAACGAAAACAACCTCAGCCCCATCGGCACTCTTAGGCAAGACTCGGCCATCGGCAGCCCTTCAGCTCAACCTGGACTCAGACTCGGAATCTGGTGGTGTAAGCGCTGGGGCAGATGCCTCGGATGATGATGACTTTGATTTTTATGACTAGACTGTGGATGATGATGTTACATTTGTGATAATATGGAGGGGGTTAAATTGTGATTTT